CTGTGGATGTAAATAAATAAATAAATAAATAAATAAATAAATAAAATAAATAAATAAATAAAATAAATACAAGATAAATAGATAGATAAATATAATAACACAAAAATAAACAACAACAACAATAATAATAATAATAATAATAATAATAATAATAATAATAATAATAATAATAATAATAATAATAATAATAATAATAATAATACGTATAGGTGAAAATAAGCTTAGATTGATATACGTTTAAGTAGACATACAGACAGACACACACACACCCATATAATAAATAAAATAATGGTTGTCCCTCGTGTAATGGCCGGCCCAAGAGCCACCTAGGCGTGAATTTGTTTAAGGTGTAGAAGCTGTCGCCAACACAACAACCACACCCTGAGTTAACGAGCTGCATGACCCAGTGTCAAGGAATAGTCCGAGAAGACCGGACAACTCGCCAACTGCACTGGCTAACCATTACCCCAGAATACGATCCGCAATTAACATCAAGGTTCCCAATTACTGCTGGTAGACAGAGGCAAATGGCGTAAAGAAACTTGCCCATAGTTTCACCCTGCCCGGGGATCGAACCCGGGTCCCATATTAACAGCCATAGACACACACTCATACAGACAAGACATACTAACACTTTTCATTGAGACATTTAGGAGACGGAATTAATAGACAATAGACCAATCTTCATCGATGACGTCATTCGGTCTATGTTAATATCAAGGTCAAGATTTTCAGAACTTAAGGTCAATATCTCCGTAAGTGAAGGTGTACTTAACCGTTTGACTTAGGACACAGATTTAACGTTTATACACAATATTGAAATTATACTGAGACTCTACCTTAACTAGATACGTTCACTTAACACCAGTTAGGAGATAGAATTGACAAAATATATTTATAATTTGAGTGAACGTGAAGTATCTAGTTAAGGTAAAAATCAGGCTGCAGTTTTTATAGTATTTTTTGATGTCATTCTTGTATATTAGTCTAAATTAACCAGTCAAGGACATTCTCACAGCTCCAATTATAAGTAATATTTATCTCACTAATATCTGAGATTCCAGTATTCACCCAGTGACGCCAGAAGGTCGTATCACCACAGGAAAATATAATTATTAGGTACAAACAATCACAATAGCATAGTCATCCATGGGCGTTTTCCTTCTACATCGTTTTCTGTGGTGACGCATCAAGGTCGCTTATTAAACGTTTTTTTGTTTATAGATTTACCGGTGAGATACGAGCCCATTTATATTATTTCATTTATTATCATTATCTCTCATTATTATTATTTTTTATTATCTATATTATGTAAATGAATATTATCAACATACATACGTGAATAAAGGAAATAGTTTATACCTTGAATAAAATACAAGGCATTGACACACCTCAAGTATAATTTAGAGGCCATTTTTACAAGTGTTTTTTGTTTTAATTTACATAAGAAAAGTAAGTTATAATTTAAGTGGAAAAAACATCGTTCGGGTGTTTGTGTATCACCATAACAGGAAGGTGAAGTGAGATCAAATTCTATTGTTTATTCAGATTCCTTGGAGGGTGTTGATCCAGTGGGGAGAGGAGGAGGAGGAAGAATAAGAGGAGGAAGAGGTAAAGGAAGAGGAGGAGAGGAAAAGTAAAAGTAAAAAAAAAAAATACTATAGTTCCCCCTATTTTGAGCATACCTGTTGCCCAAGTACTTGACAATATGGGACCAGCTCAGGCAAAACGCATCATCAGTATGTTATTAATTAGTTTGTATGGCGTAACAGTGAGGGCCACACATACCTCTTAGTACCTCAGTGTGACGAGAAACCTTCACTTTTCTCGCCCATGTGTATCGGCTACTGACACAACATAGCGATTTGTAACTTGCTAAATGTAGGTCAGAGTGGCTAGGTAAGAAGATCAACGTCTATATAGGATCAGTACCAACACGCAGATAGGGTACGACTGAGAGAAGAATGAATTTGAGTTAGGCCTATCTTATTTAAGTAGGAACGACCATTACGGGACGTCAAAGTGGGTTGATCTGAGCCTGTTATAGAGTATCCCCTCATCACTAATTATAATTTTTTTATTAATAACTTTACCATTAATCTTTCACCGCTTGTTCAATTTTACCTATTAATATGTAACAAAATAGCTTACGACAATGATTAATAACAAATAAACTAAGCTAAATATGCAATAAATTATAAACCGGATACCTGTAAAATACAATAAATATCAAAACTTATTGTATATAACATTAGAATAGATAAAGTAACGGATTAAAAACCCTTAAATTTCGATAACAAAGAATTCTAATACTATAAGTCGATGTAAACTGTACTTTAAAGTAGAGGATACGTATATTGCTGCATTTTTTAAGTCTGTGGATGACTGAGAATGTGTAATATGTCCACTTTCGTCTGTTTTAAGTAAGAGGATTAATTGTATGATGGATGTTCCTATAAATATCTCTACCATTAATCTCTCATCGCTTGTTCAATTTCATCCATTAATATATAACAAAATGACTTACGACAATAATAAATAAATAAAATAAGCAATGCTCAATAATTTATATACCGGATACCTACAAAATGCTACAATAAATATTCAAATGTTTTATATAGCATTAGAATAGAAAGAAAACGAATTAAATATCTTTAAATTATATTAAAAAAAAATACAATACCCTTATGCGATGCGTTTTTGTCACCGTTGGCAGCAGGCAGGAGACCTATACAGACGGAGCTTCAAATATCGTCAATTTGGCGCCAAGTGGAGCTTCACATATCGTCAATTTGGCGCCAAGTGTACGAGGCTACGGTAATGGGGACATAACTCTTACAAATATATGAAAAATAAACCTGGAAACTCTACTTTGAGGTAAGAGTTGTATTTCTTACGTCTACAGATGATTGATTGTGTGTAATATGTCTACTTTTCTTCTGTTTTAAGTACAAGGATTGTAATTACTATGCTGCGAGTCTATTTCCGTCTGTTTATTTTTTTAACTACTAATGACATGAAAATACACGTAGATAATTATTAGTCGTATTTAATTATAAGCTATAAAATGTACTAATTATAACGGTATTTTTTCTAATTTATTTATTTGTTTCAGTGTGGTGACTTCAAGATTTTGTTTTTCTCTATAACAAGAAAATACGAAGAAATACGCCTTAGCTGACTTGGACACACTGTAATAAGGTACAAATGATTTAAGCGTATTTTACGTGTTTTAACTCCCATAAAAGGATATTATTATTATTATTATTATTATTATTATTATTATTATTATTATTATTATTATTATTATTATTATTATTATTATTATTATTATTATTATTATTATTATTATTATTATTATTATTATTTTGTCAGGTGTAGGCCATTATTATTATTATTATTATTATTATTATTATTATTATTATTATTATTATTATTATTATTATAATTTATTATTATTGTTATTGTTATTATTATTATTATTATTATTGTTATTATTATTATTATTATTATTAGTAGTAGTATTATTGTTATTATTATTATTATTATTATTATTATTATTATTGTTATTGTAATTATTATTATTATTATTATTGTTATTATTATTATTATTATTATTATTATTATTATTATTATTATTATGTTGAGGCTACAGCAAAACATAATTTTTCCACATATAATTTCCCATAAGATTTTTGACTCGATTATTACTTTTACATATACGAAAATAACTATAAACTTTGACCACTAGAGTTTTATCCAAGGTTACTGCATCAATGAGAATTATACAGCATTTGGTTCATAATTGGGCGGAGATAAATACATTAATTAATAAATAAATACAACTGGGCAGCTTAATATGTTAATTTTATTTAATTCAGGTTTGCCATATTTGGTTATGTTAGCCAGAATAATTTATACTGTTGTAGGTTTGGCTAGGACAGATTTGGGTGCAGAGGCAGATATGTGGATAGAAAATAGATAGGTAGGTAGATATAGATAGGTAGATATAGATAGGTAGGTAGATATAGATAGGTAGGTAGATATAGATAGGTAGGTAGATATAGATAGGTAGGTAGATATAGATAGGTAGGTAGATATAGATAGGTAGGTAGATATAGATAGGTAGGTAGATATAGATAGGTAGGTAGATATAGATAGGTAGGTAGATATAGATAGGTAGGTTAGGTTAGATGATAGTGTTCTGGCTAAAGGATTTTTGAGTTAATTTTGAAAGTGTTATGTATTGGTATATAGCCAATTGTAACCTGATTTTAATTGTACCAAACTTAACCTAACCTTATTTTAATTTACCTCTGCTAACCTAACTTAACCTAACCTTACTTTAATTTACCTCTGCTAACCTAATTTAACCTAACCTTAATTTAATTTACTTCTGCTAACCTAACCAAACTTAACCTAACCTTAATTTAATTTACCTCTGCTAACCTAATTTAACCTAACCTTAATTTAATTTACCTCTGCTAACCTAACTTAACCAAACCTTACTTTAATTTACTTCTGCTAACCTAACCAAACTTAACCTAACCTTAATTTAATTTACTTCTGCTAACCTAACCAAACTTAACCTAACCTTAATTTAATTTACCTCTGCTAACCTAATTTAACCTAACCTTAATTTAATTTACCTCTGCTAACCTAACTTAACCAAACCTTACTTTAATTTACTTCTGCTAACCTAACCAAACTTAACCTAACCTTATTTTAATTTACCTCTGCCAACCTAACCTAACCAATACCGCTGCCAATAGCCACATATAGCCAACACTGTTTACATTATATCATAGCTCTATAACCAGTACATGATTATAACTTGTTTAATTATAGTTTAACCCTGACCTCATTACGGCTTCTTGTGACCCAACTATTTCTTTCCTGGGTCATAAATTGCCCAGTTGTCAAGGTAACCACTTAATTGTGATATATATATGTATATTTTAACATGTGGGCGATCTTTCTCAGGCGCTTGGGTACGGGGG